GCTGGCTCGAAAGGAGGAGTTCCTCCAGTCCAAGAAGCATACCAGCAACGCCACTCTCAGTGGGCATGGCCACAGTCAGGCGGTGGACTTTGGCGACGCACTGGCCAGCTTCATGGACAGCGTCCGCGACCACGAGAAGTTCTTGACGACAGCGCACCTTGTGACATGGCTGAAGAACCTTCAACCTGCCTGGCTTGACTCGTACCTGGAAGGCAAGGCGGATCCGTCACGATCGTACAAGGCCCTCCTGGGATGGTGCCAAGCCTTTGCGCACCGCCACGGGTTCTTGCAGCGCGTACCCTGTACGTCCAAACGGACGCACGAGGACTTGCAGGCCCCGCGCGTTGAGTACGCACAATCGTTTTGGTCCAAGTACAGTGCCAACGACCGCGGGAACATCATCAACATCGACGAAACTGGAGTACATTATGACATGCCGCCACGTCGTACATGGGCACGAATCGGGAAGTCGGCCAAAGTTGATCGCCAGCAGAAGCACTCTGACCGGGTGACCGCCGTCCTTGCCATACGCGCAGATGGTGAGATTGTGTTCATGATCGGTACTTACGTGTCGTCTAGGACGCAAGTTGCCTCCCTGCATCATCGTGCGTGGTCAGCCTGGCGGTCCTGTGGAGCAGGACGAGTTGCCGACGTATCCACGTGACGCAATCTACGCTGTCCAAGAGAATGCGTGGATGGATGAGCGAGTGTGGGACATCTACCTGCGCGAGCTCGTCCAGTACGAGATCGAGGCACCGTCTGTGGTGGTGGTCGACAACCTGTCGGCGCATGTCACACCTGCGGCGTGCGAGTTAGTCCGTGGCGACTTATACAGTGTACTGGAAGAGCTGCCAGCGAACGCAACTAGTACCGTTCAACCGCTTGATGTTGGTGTGATGGGGCCCTTTAAGGCCAAGTGCCGCACCGAGTGGCTGCACGAGGTAAAGGTTACAACAGCTGCAGAGAAACGGTTGGCGATGGTGAAAAGAATTTTGAAAGTATGGGAGTCTATTCCACCAGCGATGGTTATTCGCTCGTTTGATAAGGCTATTCCTTGTGATGAGTCGTAATATACCTCTTTGGTTGTGTGTTCGTTGTTGGAGGTTTCCCGGGTATAAACCCCCTCCTGAATCCATTGCGCATGTCCATGAGTCCAAATTCGTTGATTTTCGATTTGGTGCGACATTTCCGAGTGTCACGTTACAACACCTTGTGATTGGCTTAAATCCTCGGCCCTTTCCTGTTCTGCAACAATATAAATTTTGTCCAACTGTGTGGACCTCTCATACAATAGCCAAGATAAAAGTCAAGTACAACTGTGGGCGAGTTCATCCTCGGTTCTCTGTACGTACTTGTAGTCTCTTCTATGTACTGCTGTACGTTGTAATGTACGTACTGGAATATTAGTATTACGTACGGTACGACATACTGTATGTACTGCACCTTCTGTATAGATAAGATATTACAGTCAAATTAGACTTCTATTTTATTTATGTTCCTTCTGCATTGTACTATGCTTAAAAAACTATAGTCATAAACAGTGCATTGAATATCTTGAGAAGCTTATTATGACGCACTTTGACGGTTATTTTTTTGCCTTCATTAAACTATGCTACGTGCACAGATTGTATACCGCTTACGCTTTGGGCGCAGTCTCCTCGTGTTTATCATATCCTTCTCTTAATACTACGTAGTAGTAACGTTATTTATACTACGTATTCGTTGAATAGTCCACTCAATTCCAGTGTCAGTACAGTTTGTACTACGTTGTACTATTAGTAGTACTAATACTAAGGAGCGCTACTGCATACTACAGCCAGTAGTACAGTACTACGTTGATACTAACTGTAGCACTACTATTAATAGTACAGTGTACTAGTTAGTACATAGTACTACATATTAATAGTAGTAGCACTGGGATACCTATTATTAGTACTACTAGGTATAAATATTGATATTAATACTATTACGTAGTACTACTTCAGTAGTAATAGTACAGTATGAATATCGACTCCATGGAAATACAGTACTACTAGTAGTACTAGTACTATTTAGTACAACAGTAGTATGAATTCAAGTACTACGTAGTACTACTAATACTAGTAAGTACTGCTAGTAGTACTGTATTACACTCCTGGAAATACTACTACAGTACTAGGTACAGTAGACTATTAATAGTACTAGTACGTAGCCCACTTCATTTCGTACATCCGCATACAATATATGATACTACTGCGTTTCTAGTACTACATACTGTACACACACACTACTAGTATACAGTTAAGTATTGTGCTCGTAGTACTCGTACTAACTAACTCCTTTGAACCCCCCTAGGTTAACGTTAACTGTAGATCATTGTATTCCGTTCAGCATCGTACAGTACATAGTGTCACCTACATGTACTAGTACGTACTTGTAGTATCTTCTATGTACTGATGTACGTTGTAATATACGTACTGGAATACTAGTATTAAGTACGGTTCTACATACTGTATGTATTGTATACCGCTTACGCTTTGGGCGCAGTCTCCCTGTGAATTGTTATACTTAAAGTATTACTTTGAGACCCTTACAGTTAGTACTTCGAGGTACTCCTTTTGTAGTATCGCCAAATCCCTCTATCGAGTTGTCCTGTTTTGAATGTTACTTCACATGATTAACGTATACTACCTCGGATTGGAAATGAAGGGTAGTCCAATGTACTGTACATTACTGTACGTACAGTATATGTAACGTGTACTGCGTATTCAGCGGCACATATCTTGAAGGATTATTATTGCGTATTTCGGACGTTACTTCACTTGAATAACAAATCCAATGCACTGTACGTAAACTTGGTAGCATTCAACTGCACATATTTTAAAGGATTATTAAGACGTATTTTTAATGTTACTGATTAACATACACAATGCACTGTACATAACCGTTCGTATACTATGCACTGTATATTCAACTGGAAATATCTTAAAGATTATTAAGACGTATGTTGAATGTTACGAAATTTTCTTTAGTCCAAGCTCTTTAGTTAGGTTTAGATAGAAGGGAATTAAAATGTTTGGAATTGAAGTAATAAAATTGTAGAGATGGCCACTCCAAACAGTGATCATCGATATGCCGAAATATAGGTTTTATTAAAGTATTGGAAATGCTTCGAGCAACGATACAAATATCTATTTATAAAAGCAAATAAATATCATACGCCTAACATGCATCTGAACAAGGGTGAAACTCATAACAAAATTCCCCGAATAATACAACTAGCCAAGGGTTTGATTGCTGCGGTAATAGTTTTTTCCAATCCTATCGGGCAAGACGGCAAGACGTTCGGCAAATCAATGATTGTTTATGCTATCGCCGAATGGGCCACTGCATTCGTATAAACCTTTGGATATGGATAATTCTCCTATAAATCAGATATACTACGTATCTTGATAAAATTATGAGGAAACACAGTGAAAATCAATCATCATAGTACTTCTTTGCTGTACTATTAATACCTACTAAGTAGTATTACTACGTAGTAGTTGTACCGTACTATTAACTGTTAATAGTAGTACTATTACTGTATCAGCACCTTGTACTGTACTGTAGTACTGCACATACAGTGCCAAATATCGTGCTCTGTACTGTACTACGAAGCATTGTACTGTAGTACAACGTAGTATACGTATAGCAATCAGTAACTGTAAGCTTACTCTATGCGGTATCAAATTTTGTCCTTCTAGTACTCATACTAGTACTAGACAAAGTACATGCATCATGCTCTCGTCGGATATAACAGGACCTTTTTTTGTCACACACTAAATAACGAAATACACACAGAAACGACCGAAAAAAACACAAATTTTAACGAAAAAACACACACCACCCAATAACACAATACAAATCCCGAGTTCCACACAAACTTCGCCCAGCATAACACATAATTCACCGAATTCCACACAAAAAATGCCTAATCCACACCAAAATTCCTGAACAGTTAGGACGGAAATAGAAAACATCTGACCCATCCATTTCCAGCTTGCGGACAAATTGGGATCGATCCCTTGGGAAAAATATA